CAGCCTGGTGGTCTCCTGCACACCACCAGTCACCACGGTGAAGCAGTCCTGCAAGGGAAGAGGACAGATCCCCTACCATCCCCATCTGTCCCTACCCACATCATCCCAGGATACTGGGACACTGGCTGAGCATGGAGGAAGGAGGTTGGTCAGCACATGGCATCAAGGATGGTTTGGGGATGGTGTGGTGGGATGGGCACAGCTCTGTGTGTGCAGGTGGGAACATCCCAGCCATGAGTCAGGGATGGGGAGAGCATCTCACCTTGTCCAGGTAGCTAGGCAGTGCTTCCACCATGAGCCTCTCTGTCTTTTTGGATATCTCTGAGGGTTTGATGATGACACAGTTTCCTGGGGGGAGATCAACTGGATGTCAGAGCAGTGACATAGTGACAGCCACGATGAGGTGCCCTTGTTGCTGCCTGGCACTGCTGAAATCTTCTGGGCCAGGGGACAGGAAGGTTGGGCTCACCAGCAGCGATGGCTCCGATGAGGGGCACCAGGATGAGATTGATGGGATAGTTCCAGGGTGCTATGAGGAGCACCACCCCATACGGCTCCTTGCGGATGAAGGCAGAGTCCAGCCGTGTTGCCTGTAGGACACCCACCGTGTCAGGTGCCATCCTGCACCACCACCCGCCTGTCTCTGTCCCCCATCCTCTCCCTCCTCTCACCAGAGTCCTGTCCACCTGTTCATCCTTCATCCAGCGGGACAGGTTGTTCAGGGTCTCATGGAGCTCGTTCTTGCACAGGAGGATCTCGGAGAATTCAGCTTCAAAGGCTGGCTGGAGACATCAAGCACCCAACATGTCACCTCAGCATGTTCTGCAGCACAGGGCAGCTCTCATCCCAACACTCCATATTGGTTTTCCCAGGATTTGGGGATTGGAGTCCCGTGGTGGATGTGCACCCCTAAGGGTGCTGTGCATCTTCCATGTCTGTGGTGTGATTTTTAAGCACTGATTGATTAAAAATAGGAAAAATGCCATGGATCCCATCGATCTAAATAGCAGGAAGGGTGGGAGGGTGTGCAGAGGGACTAGAATGGAGAACAGCAGACAATGAGCCCTGTGTGGTGGTGAGGCTCTGGCTGCAGAGCCATGGGATCTGTGCTTGCACAGCCACAGCCTGGGTGAGTCCTGAGGCAGGGAATGGGGTGGCAAGATTGGGTGGGATGTCTAGGGCAGGAAGCAGGGATGGACCAGCCGAGGGAAAAAGGAAACTGAGGCTGGTGGGTGTGGGAAGGGCTATGATGTCAGGGTGCTCTGCACAGCTGCCTCTGCCCATGCCAGGGCAGGAATGAGCTCTGGAGGAGAGAGGCTGGGACAGCCTCCACCTCAGTCTCCCAAATCCCCACACTTCCCAGGTGGGGCTGGAGCACCCAATGGGAAGATGGAGCACCCTCAGCTCCTCTGGCCACTGGGTCCCCCATTCCTGGCCCCTCTCACCTTGCCCATGTCCAAGGCAGTGGCCTCCAGGATCTCCTGCTTCTTGTCATCCAGGAAGTGTCCCAGGGCCCTCAGCTGGGCCAGGCGGTATTCCACAGGCCGTGTCTTCCCGGAGAGCCAGGATGCCCTCAGTTGGCTCACTACCCCTGTGAAGGGGTTCTCACTGTGGGGATTGGGGTCTCAGAGGGACCTCAGCTCCATCCCTCTCCCTTGAGCTCCACATCGCCCCACCCCAGCATCCAATCACTGCTCCAGGGAGAGGATGGAGCACTGGGACCCCTCCTGCCACCCCTCTGTCCCCACCACACTCTCACCTGGTGGCATCACCATCCATACTCCCCTTCCCACCACCATCACCCTTGGTGGGTCTCCCGGCCCCACTCCCAGTGGGCTCAGGGCGCGGTGGGTAGACGCTGCCGTTTTCCATGGTCCCACAGGAGCAACACGGGACGGTTGTGCCGTTGGGGCTGTGAACCACAGCTTCCTCTCCCCGGCTAAGAGGGTGTCCCCAGAGAGCCTGGGGCGCACCCCACAACCCCCGGGGGTGTCTGTGGGGCTGGCAGGGTGCCGGCGGCAATCCCAGTCCGTGCTCTGCCGGAGGAGAGCGACTACCAGCTTCCTGCCCTGCTCTTGGCTGCTTGCCCTGGCACGCGTCATCGCTGGCTCCGCTCCCGCTCAAACTGCTTAGGATGCAAAAATTCATCCCAAATCCAACCCAGGGCACCTCTCAAACACCCCCTCAAAACTGGGAGAGAGAGAGCTTGATGCAAAGGCTTTACTACAAGCAGGATTACACACAGGAAAGAGCAACAGTGAGGGGGGAGAGAGGTTCATCCCGAAAGAAAGGTCTGTGTGACAAGAGATGGGGCTGACAAGATCAATTCTCTGCTGGGAAGAGAAGTTTAGGGTGAGAAAGTGTTTTGGGCCATTTCAGCTGTGTCCTGGCAGTCTGGAGGTGAGACCACAGGGATGAGCGAGGGTGCAGGAGGGGTTGTGCATCCTGGTTGTCCGAAGTGCTCCAGCACGGCAGCGAGGCCAAGGACATAGCAAGGGAACGGGGGACCATGATGAGGAGGGAGAGGGATACAGTCCTGGTTCTCTGCACTGAGTCCATGCACAAGGACCCTCAGAGTGAAGTGTGGGACCCTCAGCACAGTGGGATGCGCAGAGTGGGACATGGGACCCTCAGAGTGGACTGTGCAACCCTCAGAGCAGGGAGTGGGACCCTCAGAGCAGGTTTGAGGGTCCTCAGAGTGGGTTTGGAGCCCTCAGAGCAGGGTGTGGGACCATCAGAGCAGTGTGAGACCATCAGAGCAGAGTGCACGTGCCCCTGCGCTTGACCTCGAAGGTGGTCGTGAGGAGCCCCAGTTTCTGCTGGGTGTAGGGTGGGTAGCGGAGGCTGTTGAGGGCCTCCAGCCCCATGTTGCGGTGCAGGCAGCCACGGCGCTGGGAGAAGGTGTCAAAGGTGAACTTCCCATGGTACTTTCCCAGGCCACTGTTCCCTGGAACACACAGGACAGGTACGTGCTCAGGGTGGGACTCTGCTCCTGATGACACCCACTCCAAGCAGCAACATGAGAGGAAAAAACCCCACAGTGTTTTCTCTGCTGAGCAACAGACATGGTATAGGAATTCCATCCTTCCCAGTGCCCCTCCCCAGCTCTATAGATACACAGTCCAGCAGATCCTCAGCAGTTTGGAGGCCCCAGTGCCTCATTTTTACCCACCTCCATTTATCTACACAAGCTTCGTGATCTACAAGCCCTGATTTCTCTCTGGTGCTCCACCATATCTCTCCATGTTTGGAGCTATTCCATCTTCTTCCCAAAGCTCTTAAAACCTGGAGCCACCTTGGCAACAGCAGTTCCCTCAATTCCTGTGGCTGGTTTAAACTGGAGGTTAAGAGCCTGGTGACTTCCCGTCTCACCCCGATGACTTCAGCCACTTCACCTGCTCCAAAGTGGCTTTACCTGATAATTGAAGGTGGTTGGTCTGAATCATTCCCAATTAAGATAAGTTACAGAATGGGAAGCACCAAAAATTGTTCCCTGCACCACAGGTAGGTGAGGAATTAATTATCGGGGTGTTTCATTATGTTTGACTCAGGTGCCAGCCATGACGTTGATGCTGAGCAAGGGCAGCACCAAATGGAGGCACTTATCCCAGAAATATTTTGGGGAGACACCTGGAGATTGGGAAATATTCTGGGGAACATAATTCTTCTATTCCTGTATCCCTGGACTATGCTGCACACATGGCTCAGGGCTGAGTGACCTCACGTTTCCCCTGAGAAACCAAAAATCGGTGCCTTTGGAAAACTGAAACTTCCTCTTCTCCAAGGAGGATCTCCATGGTCGCATAAGAGGTTCTCCAGGTAGTCTTAAGTATTTTGTTCCTACTATTTAGTCTTAAAAGGTAGAATGAAGGTACAACCTGGCTCCTGATTTACATCAGGGGATCATGCCTAGCACCATGCTGGCTGCAGGAGGAAGTACACCTACCTACCTCAGAGTCCTCCCAGACCCTTCTTCACCACAGCCAGCATGGCTTGGGCACCACAGGTGGGATCCCACCCAGCTCCTGTTGGCCAGGATTGGGGGATTTGGACATACCAGTCCCTCCAAAGGGCAGTGAGCTCAGCATCACTTGCATCAGAGTGTCATTGCCACAGAAGGTGCCACTGCTCGTCCGCTCCAGGACCTGGTTCACCACCTGGGAGGGACACAGAGAAGGTGGGTGAGGGTCTTGCACTTGGCAAACATTACCCAACTCATCCATTGGATTTTCCCAGAGCTTCCAGACTCTAAAGGACCTTCAGAGCAGGCCCTGGGGGTCATGGAGGTGGTGCATCATTTCCCTCCCCTCATTTCTGCTCCATGGACACACCTTGCTGTCACAGGAGAAGGCATAGACAGCCAACGGCTGTGGCCGCGCGTTGATGAAGTCAATGGCTTCATCCATGTTGGCAACCACCACGATGGGCAGGATGGGCCCGAAGATCTCCTCCTGCATGATGGGATCTGAGGGCAGCACATCTGCCAGCACTGTGGGAGCTGTGGAGAAGAAGTCCAACGGCATCAGCCAGGCACAGAGGTCAGATATGACACCTCAGTCCTCCCCTAAGACCCATCTCCAAGAGAGGGCACATCACCAAGTGTCCCATTCCAGTGGGAACCTTCCCTAAATCTCATTTCCCTCTAGAGTCTCCTCTACAGATGTAAGAGCCTAAATGCCAAATGTGCCCTATGCAAGGATGAAGAAATGCATGAAATCCAAGCCCTCACCGATGTAGCACTCCTCCTCATCTGTCTGTCCCCCGATGGCCACACGCCCACTGCCCAGCAGCGCCCGGACCCGCTGGAACTGCTTCTTCCCACCGATGCGACCAAAATCTGGGGATTCTTGAGGGTTGGAGCCAAAAAACTCGGTCATGGCCTCACGCAGGGCAGGCATCAGCTTCTCCTGCATCTCGACAGAGCAGAGCAGATAGTCGGGCGCGATGCAGGTCTGCCCC